GACACGAATCAATGAAAGCAAGCTGAATGGAATGCGTGGGGCAACAAATCCTGAGCTTGAAACCCAACACCACTGACTCAATGACCAAATCGAAACCTGAAAAGTACACTACTTGGTATTCCAGGACGATGTTCAGGACCCAACTCGGATTCTTGGCCGTGCTTCATCAATGCAGTCATCCCATGAACTCGCCGCGCATTGGCCGGCGCCACCACTTCGACATCCTCTTGTTCGCGCTTCATGAAAAAGGGACGCCTGCAGATGCATCACAGGCTGGGGCAGAGAGTAAGACCCAGTAAGATCTAACACATCATGACTCGAATCTAGTATGGATCGTCTGTGTGTCCTTTTCCCAGACTATCCATGGGACTGGCATATTTCACCATTAATTCACCATAATTCACCTACATTGGGGTGGTTGAAAAGTTGAAAAGGGTTGAATGTAGGCATATGCCAGTCCCATGAAGTGTCTGCCCCTTTTGTTCAGCTTCGTGGCTGTTGACGCGGCGCACCCACGCAGCTCTCTCACATGACCTGGGTCCAAGCAGTTGACCAAGCAACGGAGGCAACTGATAGGTCGTTGCCAGAAGCCCAGAGAGAGCCCATGGGCGCTTTGGAACCCATGCGCGCCAATTCTTTTCTGGCCCAAAGGAATCCCTTGGATTGGAAGATTTTGCCTACATACCGGATGACAGGGAGCAAAATGTTCAACATGTCCATGTCTAGCAGACCAACGGAGTCTAAAGCAAGGAATCATGGAGTGGCTTTGGGTGATTGCCCCATTTGGTGGGGCAGGAGCAGCCCAAAAAGAACTGTCAGGGACTAGGAGCATTGCAAAGGAGCAATGCAAATGAGCATGAAGTCCCTTCTAACTGATTCTAGTTACGGCACCAAACCCGCCAACAAAATCATCAAACAAGGGATCATCGAGTCATCCATCTAATCCATGTATATAATCCCCTGGAAGATCAAGATGGAACCTGAAAATGGAAGACGATTTTCCTCTACAACCCGGTGGTTTCCAGGTTCAAGTTTAATCTTCCATGTAATATCATCCCCTTGATCCGGTCCAATAAAACCACCTCGCCCCACGCCCGCCCTCCGGCGTCACCGGTGTGCACCTCCGGTCCACGGGCAAACCCTGCTCCAGGAGCATCTTCAGCTCATCCTGCGCGTTTTTGGGGGTCATGTTGTTGCGGCGTGTTGTTGCCAAAGTCTCTTGAAATGAGAAGAGACTCGTTGCAGAATAACAGTAAGACGGGTCGTTTGTCATTGTTTTTTCTTCTTGCTGTTGGCCTTTAGAAACAAAAACAGCCGCCCCACATAGTTGTCACATGTTGGAACTCAGCAACTTCAACGGGGTAAGGTTAGGGACTAAGGCTAAGGGTTTGAGGGAATGTTGGTTTCGTAAGTAGGTGGGCTTGTTGGACTTGTTTCACTGGAGTCTGGGCTGGTCCGTTTTTTTGTGTTTTTGAGGTGTAGTTCTGGAGGGGATGGTCCCACTAGTGGTAAAAGTAGTTGTTGGCTGGTTGTTTTCGGGGCGGGGTCAAAAAAACAACGACGGGGTTGCAGTTGTTGTTTCCACTCCTTTGTAGAGACAAAGGACAATTATATACAATTATATATGCTGTAACGGGGTTGCAGTTTTTGTTTGTACCATGTTGTTGTTGTTGTTGGCGAAGGACGAGCAACCATGTGCAGCGTGAAAGAGTGACAGGTCCAATTCTAAGGAGCTCACGCGAAGCTTTCAAAGGTTTTGATTGGCTGAGTTGAGCTGAATTGAAATGTGTTGAGTTGAGTTGAGTTTGGTGGTAGGTTGGCGGGTTTCGTAGGTTAGGTAGGTAGGTTGGTAGGTTGGTTGGTTGGTTGGTCGGTCAATCCATGGTCAAAAAAAAAGTCAACAGGAGTCGGTCACCCATATGTTTTTTTTTGGGGCTCACAGTTCAAACATCCATATCAGAAGACTGCTCCACCCTTTGGTTGGCCATGGCCACATATAGCTGAAATTTCTTCCAGGCATGGAACGACATGTGCATGACAATTGCGATCTTCGAGTCCGGTGCTTAGCAAGGAGTGAGGGAGTGGTAGGGAATGGAATGGATCCCAAGGAATCACGTATATAGTAATATGTAACTAATATAGTAGCGGGGTCATTCTCTACTAAGCACCAAGGTCCGGTCCGGCCGAGTGTGAGTGTCGTCCGGTGTCGTCCGGTGTCGTCCGCAGCTCCTCTCGTCCATCCTTGGCAGCCACCAGCATCTTGTGGCACAGCAACGCCTGCGCTCCGGCGGTCGATGGGACTGCCATAGTACTGCTGCCCCAGACAGACCCCCCAGGTCAACCACCCCTGGCATGATGTAGGCAGTCCTATGGCAGTCCTTTTTTTGGAGCGTCTGGGAGACATAGGAGGGTGACTCGAAACTCAAATGAACTGAACACCTTCCAAAGTCTCATTCTCATCGCAGCTCGGATCTGTTTGGACCAAACACACGCAGCTGTCGATCCACTCCAAGACGATCCCACCTCGCTGCCCTGCAGATCGCCGTCCGGATGGCGACCTGCGCGTTAGCGTCCGAGGAGAAAAAAAAAACACGCAGAACCCACGGCATGATGACATTGGTTGGAGAGCCCTGGGGATCCCTAGGATATTTTCACTTGAAGTGGAGGGGCAGTACTGGCTAGACTCATGGGGAAGTACCAAAAACCAAAAGTCGTTCGAGAACACAACATCCGCGTTCTTGCAGGGAGGATCCCAGTGAGGGGTCCAGCCTGGTGTTGGGAGGTCTGGATGATGTTGCAGAGTGACTGTTTTCTGGAATAACCCCTAAAAACGACACACATGGGCCAAAGAACACCAATTGGTCAAGGATATGTTATTGAATATTTTTGGGTTCCATGAATGCAGCGGGCCATGAGCTGGGGCCATCTATGCTGAACCGTCCAAACCGTTCTTCAGTCTGAATCCTTCAAGCCATTCTTTAAAGGTTTTTAAAGGTGGAGACGACTGTCTTGAGTCATGAGGTTTCAAACCCAAACACTCCGTGTAGTGTAACGCTATTGGATGATTTCCAGGGGGGTCAGTGTGTTCCCGCAACAAACAGTTGCATCCACGAAAGGTTTGTTTCGTGCGGAGGGAGCTGAGTCGTGCTCCTTGGCTGGCCAAGGCGTAGATCCCGGCCTGGGCGCGTCCGGAGGTCTGGCGCCATGCATTTTCCGGTGGCCAATGCCGAAACAGAAATCGAACCGGGGCCCGATGCGGTACTTCTTTGAAGCTACGCAAACAAGAAAGGACAATCAGGTTGCGAGTCTTTCATGCTAAGAATGTGTCTTTGCTAATCCCCCCAAGATGATCCAAGATGGGAAATAGATCCGGTAAGTTTTGAAGCAATTATGGACAACTCCTCCAAAAGCAACAACTGGGAGGGAAAAAAGAGCCTCGGGCGTTTTGTTGCACTTTCGCAAAGGTTGGAAAGGGCGAGGTCACAGAAAATTGTAGAAGAAACTGAGCCACCTAGCAGACCTAGCAGGTAGAAGAATTACGTAGGTACCTGGACCTTCAAGGGGTGTCCTGTCTGGAGGTCCCTTAGTAGTGGGCTGGGGCGAACCCAGCCAGGTGACCCCGACATGAAGGTGCTGGTAGTTGATTTCGTATCCACGACTCCCAAACTTTAACATCAGTGAGCCCAAGGACGGACCTTCGTGTCCAGGCACTGCCTGGGGGCCTGCAGGGTACACGACTCCTCGTCTCAAGCCCACCAAAACCAACCTCTACCAGCACCCTCCAACAAGTCTCCTTCCTGGTGGCTGAAATGGAGACGACAGAAAGTCGGGTGGTGACCTGTGAAGTCGGGTGCTGGTAGGCTCCAGTCGACTGCCAAAGCATAGCAAAGCCACTCCAGCATACTCCACAGCCACTTTGTCACATCGTTGGTGACAGCTGCTGGCGGTGTTGTTGCCCATGGCGCCGAATCAAATCTCTGGGCCCCCCTTAGAGGATCAGCAGTTTCTGCCGTCGAGTTCTGCGCTTTTCAGCTTGATGAATGCCCTATGTTGTGAGAGGATGCCCCTCCGGACTGCCTGCTCGATCTTTCACCCAAAGGCTTGGCTTTTCTCATGGCGTGCCCTGAAGAAGCTGCGGGGGCACTTGCTGGAGCCACAATCTCTCACAAGGTTCCCTCTGCTCCACCATTTCACTCTCAGAAAGCAACCGCAAACATGGACCCTGAAAGAACCAAACATAGACATAGATGGTGATCTCCCTAAACAACCGACCCTTTGATGCAATACTCAGAATCAAACAACCATTGTTCGGATTCTGTAGAGTCTGTTCCCAGGCTATACCATGACCGAACAGATGCATAGAGTCGGTTCTGGCCCGATGCATGGAGTAAAGTACGATGGCCCCTTGGAAGGCTTCTATTCAATGCATACGTCTTCAACCGCTCCATGGGACTGCCGGACTGCCGCCCCAAACAGACCCGGCACCACCCCTGGCCTGATCGGTAAATATGGAGTGTCTGGGTATGTCTTCAATTACAAGAGATTTTTCCCCAAACAGTGTGGACACACTAAGGGGTTCTTACGGTAGTGGACCTCTGGGGTCTCTTGCCGGGATAATTTTATAGGCGGGCGTCATTCCAAATCGTTTCCTGGAGGTAGGGACCGACCGTCTCCTGTGTTCAAGACCATCCGACTGTGAAGCCGTATGCACAAGGTTGTAGACCAAATCCAGCGCTTCTTTGAGGAAACCCTGGAATCTAAACGAATCTAGAAAACATCCTGCGTGGTTTTCCATTGTGTTCCATGGTTTTCATGAAGCAAAAAAAACACAAATGGTGTTCTTTCCACGTTCTTTCTGGATTTCCTCAAGGAATCGAGAAAGAATCCAAAATCAATCATGGCGGGGGATTCACCCATACAGGAAACGTCAAAACGTCACCCCCAGAAAAGCCAGCTGATTCATGATGCACCACGGTTGGCACCATGAGTAGGCCGCAGGCCTTGCGGTCGTCGTCGAGCACTGCCTGATCCGGTGGGCTCAAAGAACACGTTTGGACCTGGTAGGACCTACCACCGAGGGCAGCCAGTCCTGGTGCAACTGCAGGACCCCACCGCATGGCCGGGCGCCTCGGCCTCAAAGGACCTGCTCATGGCCTGGATCTGCCGCAACACCTGGACGCGCAGCTGGAACTGAGGAGCGCTGGTGGGCGAAGTCTGGAAGTGACGAAGTGGAGCGAAAAACAGGTGAAGACACCCCTATCCCAAACACTCCATGGGACTGCCATAAATGCTTACATTGACCCCCCAAACCACCACCCCGATGTAGGCATATATATATATATGGCAGTCCCATTAGTCGTGTCTGGGTATTGTATTTGCTCTTCGGACAACGAACGGTCTTCCGAACATTGGGGGGGCCTCTTGGGGCCTCTTTTCATGCACAACGAGGTGCCGCACTGAACAGGAGTCCTTCCCTGACGGCCTGGTTATGGTTGTTTTCTGCATGGAGGGGAAGAACACAAGCACTTGCCACGGTTGATCATGTCACATGCTTCAAAGGGGTTCCACTGGTCTTTCGAGGCAAATGCCTGCTGTCGATGAACCGAACCTTGGCCGGTCCGTTCCGTCAGTCGTTGCCGTTTCTCCCAGCCAAGAACCGAACCCGAAGTGCCTGGCACGTGGAGTCCTTTTGTGGCCAAACCAAAGCCTCCAGCTGACCTCAACTTTTTGGGTAGGCCATGCTAGGCCCCAACCACGCACGCTTGCATCCCCAAACCGCTCCCTGAACCCCCCCCCCACACCTCTGCGGAGCTCAAGGGCACCTGCCGTCCGCGCAAGCGCCGAGACCACCGAGTCTAGTGAGGCCGGATGAAAGCGAGTCTCAAAAGCCATCAACAACCAGCGTTTCCCTACGAGGTGGGTGTGGTTTCTCTCGGTGCTTCGAAGAGAGGACCACTGAGTCCGGGCTTCTAGCCAGTTCCTCCATACAGCAAGTTCACTGTGATCTGTTTGTTCAGCTGCTAGGCGATGCGAGGTTAAGTTTAAAGATTAAAACGTATAAACATGTCACGGCAATATATCAAAGCTGCGAGTCTCCAAAACACTTAGCACGGACTTGAACAACTCCAGCGCCACGGAAGTCGCAGCTGGGTTTGAAGCAGTTAGACATCGTTGACACATTCAAGTTTCCAGGGGGGCAACGGTTCAATAGCAGTTTAATTCAAAGGTGAATCGTACCAACTCACCAACGACAAGACGTAACAACAACCAACAACTTCAACATACAGGTTTCGTCAAAACGTTACTCCAAGCAGCCCCAAGCTCCAGGCAAACTGCTGGTTTGGAAAACATGGTGTCGAGTGGTCGTTGTGAACCCTAGACCCAAAATGACTGGAGACGCCCTCCATACCTGTGTCATACAGTGTGATTGGCACCGGGCGGATCAATTGACACCCAGCTGGGGAGGTAGCTTCCCATCTCAGAGCAAGTCAAGTGCCATGCCGTCGCCTCGATAAGAAGCAACGATAGAAGTGAACACACGAGAAAAGCAAAGAATCAAGTAACATACCCGGGGCATCCAGTTACCACTATATAGCCTGCCCAATCTGCCCATGGTAACCAGCTGCTTCCAAAGACTCAGACCATAGACCATAGACCAAGAAACCCTGGTTCCTCCAACGTTGCCTGGGACCCACTGGGATACATAGAACATCATAGAACTATCAACTATAGTGGATTGAGAGGACCAATGGCACAAACCCCAATGTCGGTGGTTTAGTGGACCATATAGTGGACCCCCATCCAAAGGATTCTAAAGGACATCTTGGGGGGAAACGTGCCATCGGACCTCTGGTGGACCCCTAATCACTTCCGAGCGCTCAAAGCACCGACCCCTCCGCCTCCTCTCCAGGGCCGGACCTGGAGAGAAGTCGGGTACGCGCGATGACGCGCGGTCACCGGTACGCGCGTAGTGTGTCGGTGGCATCGGTGCATTCGTTCGACCGGTTTTGGAACAAAAGCGCTCATCTGCGACTGATTCCAAGATATGCCAAGATCAAAACCCATCCGTAGATCCAATCAATGTTACATCGTAATGGGCAGGGTCATGCAAATCGCCCAAACAAATGCAGGTGCTTCATGCCACACGAGATCTTCCTGCAAACCTTCCGAAGCGGACGCTCAGAAGCAAAACATCTGGGGGCTGAACACCATTTTACCCAATGTTTTGTAGACCTAGCACATCCAACGGGTGCCTATTGGAGACCTATAAGTAGGGCAGGGTAGTCTATTGGACACCCATTGGATGATCCTGGTAAATACAACTACCCCAATATCTGCCTTTTAAGATCTTTTAAGCATGTTTCACCACAAACTATTCAGTGCACACCTACGCGCAGAATTGGCAAGTTTGCAGCGGCTATACAGAATCAAAATGAATCAAGCAATTCACCAGTCCAATGCCAAGCCGGTCATGTGGGTCAATTCGGCCAAGAATGGGCCGAGGATGCGTGCGTGTGAATGAACCTGTTTTCTTCAATTGATCAACATAGCCTCCTCATGTGTCATTAAAGGTTTCAATGCCGCTTCAGGTTAAATGTGCCAGAAATACCAATCTGAATGGATCCGAGCCGGACACGTCGCCAAAAGATCTAATCTAGGATACATCACCTGATACCCTATTGATGATCAGTGACCGCAGAAATTTCACCTGCAGGTGAGGTGTTTTAAACTCACTTGAACAAGGTAAGTTATGTTAATGGGATCAGTCATCCCACGTAAAGGTTGAAACACAAACTATATGATTATCTGACAGAATCTGACATTAAGACCTGGTCATCTTATCCCTAGGGATCCAAGTACCTTCTCAGAAGGTGATTGGAGGCACTGTTATGTAGGTTTGGAGGGTCCAAGTACCTTCTGAGAAGGTACTTGGATCCCTATGGTATGATTCTTATGTCATTTCGTTCACTCCTTGCAGCGGCACCACGGCTTTGCACGGCAAGGCACCCCAGCTCGAGACCCTCTTCGAAGCTTCCCAACGGACCGCTTTCGATGCCTCGACATGGGAGCTTCAGTCAACGTCGAAACGAAAAAGGGTTATCAAGCAATCCGATGTCCGGAGGTCCGGAGGTCCGGAGGTCCGATGTCCGGAGGTCCGGAGGTCCGATGTACAAGGTCCGGAGGTGAATCCAGAAGATGTTCCCTCGAACTACGACGCCTTCACTTCAGGTTGCCTCGGAATGTCTGAGTGGCTTGGTCGAGTGAATCGCGTGGGCACGAGATCCGCCCCCCAAGCAGAAGAAAGATGAAGAAAGCAAGGACCTGTCTGCCATTCATCCAATCCAGCCTCTAGAAAACCCAATCACTGACAAGACTGGCCACCCCTGCCTAGCTCGCGCTTGATCCGTTGGACAAAGGCCTGACAACTGCGTAGATCGACCCAGTCTAGGTGATTGGGGCGGAAGCCTACCTGACTAACAATATCTAAAGATTAAATGAGTAAGGGCAATTGGTCAGACCGACCGAAGGTCACATGCATGTAACATCTGGCAAACATCAGTGCTTTGTTGGGCTGCTTGAGGGCAAGCCGTTGACACTGGAAATCAAGTCACTAGCACTGTCACCAACCAACGGGCCGAGGTAACACACACACAACACAAACACATTGCACGTCTTCCATTGGTGTCTTGTGTATATTTATGCGTTATGCTTTGCACCGTTAAAACAGTTATACGACACAAGACACTATATACCAGCACCTTCAAAGGGGTCACCAATGGAAGCCCCTACACTACCTAGGGATCCATTGGACACCCCAATGGACTACCCCACACTACCTATAGGCTTCCAGACAGGGCACCCCTTGGAGGGTCCTGGTATATACACACCGTATGTGCACACTGTGAACATGGAAGACCCCAAACCTTGCCAAACCGCGGCCTCGGGGTTTTCATCTTCCAAAGGCCACGTCTCCACCACCTCGCTTGGGCCTCAAGACGCCGGCGCCGGCGCCCTCTTCCGGGTTGAAATCGAAAGGCACACAAATACAGCCATGATATGCCACCGAGTCGCACAAAGCTTCCAACCCTCCACCATCAACTGAAGTCTCAGCAAATCACCACTTGGAGTAGACATTGAAATCTACTGAACATGTGGGTGTGCATTTTAACACATTTTAATAGGGAGACCCCCAACCAATGGGTTTGGATGGTAGACTGGATTAGACTGGTCTCACAGTTCTTTGGGAGGTCTTCAATTTGCTTCAGAATAACATGCGCACATCGCGTGTTTGACATTTTGAGGCTTTTCTGAAAGACTGTTGCGCACCCTGGGTGCAAGTTGCACAACATGGATGTTGCCTGTCACAGCATTGGATCAACCACCCAATCTGGGGGCCCTTGAAAAAAAGCTCATCAAAAGCAACATCCAAATGCGGTCGTTGGATTCATCAAAAGGCAACCCGCTTAGTCAGCAACCCGCCGACCCGAACCAGCCGGGCTCCATCGGCTTGGCTTCCCAGCTCGAAGCTTCGCCCAAAGCCTCGGCTAGGCGACGACGAAACCGATCATCACACCCCACGGTTCAATGGGTTTCCATGGAAACATACCCAAACGCCACCCGTTTGGGACTGCCATGTCGGACTGCCACCCCAAACAGACCCCTCTGGCACCACCCCAACTGATCGGTAAATATGACATACATGGAGTGTCTGGGGTCGATTGTCCTTCTGGGAACCTGGGTCCCCCAGAATGCGGGTGACGTCGTGTTTTGGGGGATGGAAGAGCCAGCAAAGCCTTCTCAGACCAAACAGCCCAACAAACGCCAAGAGTCAGTGAGATCAATTTCCATCAGCTGGAGGTCTTGACCAGGCTAAGTGCCTCCATCGTCATCTCTTGTCGTCCCAGCTGGAGGGTGCTTCCTCCGTACTCACCGGATTCCTCTGACCCCACAGGCACCCAGCCCAAGGCAACCAGCAAAGGCCAACCGCCCGGCAGCCCGGGCGTCCGAGCACGTTGAAACTCGGCAAACCTCAACGGGGGGCAGTGACACGACTCGCCGAGGCCAGCAGCAGGCCAGCAACAACGAGCCACAGAGCCACGTCGTAGGTCGCGGGTCGTTTGAAGAGCTGGGAAGCACCTTCCGAAGTTGGTGTTCAACAATTCGATGCAAACTTGCAATCAGCAAGTTGAAAAATGAGAGCTCGATTTGAGTGAGGAGTGTCCATCAAAAGGTGAGCCGCTCAGTGATATATACCCAAACGACTTTCCACAAGAAAATGAAGAGAAATGAGACTTACTGAGAGTACTGGTTGTGAAAACTTGGGGGTATCCCCTCCATTAATCAACAAATTCATGGTACTGGCGGCCAGCTATGATATGGATGGTCTTCGCTCACGTCTAGACTCCTCCAAGCTGCTGTTGTCGCCAGCGGCTCAGGATCCCAGCGAAGGTCTCGTCTACTGGCCTAGGCAGATCAACCCGGACCGCCACGCCTATGGTGACACGTCGGGCCGTCAAGGGGGCCCCAACCGCGCAGCGGTAGGTGTTCGTTGCTTCGGGTTGAAGTGGGGTCAACTGGCCACTGTTCATGTTGTCGGTAAACAAGGGTCCCAAGACCTGCTGTGATAAATAGTGAGCAAGGGTCTGCCGGAGGTGCATTGGTTTCAAGAACCGCCGCAAGCAAGAACTCCTTGCAATAGGCAAAACACTACAGATTAGACTCACACCCATTGGGTCAGGGGGCTCTCCCTATTCTCATGCACGCCCCTGACTGAGATACACTCCCGAAAACTATCATAGACCCTGACAATGACCCCTTGGAAGATGGTTTTCCTCCGTCTTCCAGGGTGTAAGTGGAAGTCTCTTTGAGGTCATGTTGACGATCTGGGACCATACAAAGTTCGCAGCACATCGACCGAAAGCGTGGGCCACCCTGCTCTGGCACAGCGTCACCTGGCACAGCATCACCTGGAAACATCACGGGCACCAGGGGCAGGAAGTGGACGGGAAGTGGACATGCCCACGTCCATCTGCAGCGGGACACTCACGTCTGGTTTCGGAGGCTCAAAGGGTTGTCCATGATTCTGCTCTAGAAACATCTGGTCATTGAAAAGAGGGCATGTAGTATCACTCCTTCTCTCTCTCCTTCTCTCCCTCTCCCTCTCCCTCTCCCTCTCCCTCTCTCTCTCTCTCTCTCTTGAGACTCTTCTCCTTGAAGAGTCAAGACCAGCGTGATTGTCGCAATCCGCCATGAGGGTGCCTTCTTCTTGAAGAGTGTACAACAGTTGTTCGGTTCTTCTCTATGGGGATGGGATCGCTGAACATTGAGGAGGCAAAGCCAAAAGGCCGAGTAGGGGCGAGGCCCTCTTCTCCAAGCCCTGACCAGTTCGCCAAAGAATAGAAAAGTGATGAAAAGTGAGGTACTGGCGGTTGACCGTTGCAGTTCCTACTTGTTCCCCGTTCGAAATTACATACAGTTCATGTCCAGCAACTGACTTCTTGGACTTGTTGCTTGCAGATCCGTTGCTCAGAACTTGAAAGCAAGAACTGATGAAGTCCAACTGTTTCCACAGATCTTCTTACACCTGGGTCGGTGCATCTTGCACCTTGTGAGACAGCTGCATGTTGACTGCCACAACTTTTGTGGTGCCAGTTGACCAAGCAACCCTCCGCACAAAGAACTTTTGCAGGAAAGCTGTTATATTAGTATATTCTTGTTGTACTATAGTAGGTCTGAGTCTAATTAGGTCTTCACAATAAGTGTGGTGACACTTACAATTAGCATGTTGTCGCATTCGAACAGGAATCAAACGTGCAATCCTTTTGTGCGACCTGCATCATCTGCCTGCGTTTCATTATCTATATATAGATCTAGATCTAAATTAGTCAAAATTGCACAATTTCAGTGGCCCAACATATCACGTTTAAACAATTGCTTAGAAAGGTCAACTAAACAAACACATGTGGCGTGTGAGCATATAAGACATGCCAAAAATCCGTCCGCCATGTTAGTATCTTGGCACGGTTAAAAGGACATGTTCCCAAGAAGCATTTCTACAGCGTTGATTGACAGGTTGCTGGCAGTGCTAGTTTAGATCTAGATATGTCTAGATGTTTTTCTCGAAAAGGTTCCTCGGACCTTTTGTGCTCATGTGGAGTTCTGGAGGGGTTGTCTTTGCCCCCCCAAGAACTGCCAGGAAGAATTCGGCAGCTGCGCCACTCAGGTGACATAGGTTCCGGATCGCTTCATCGCCAAGAAGGAGAACTTGTTCCCTGCGAGAAGGGCGCCAACTGTCCCCCACAAACTAGCACCCCTCAGAGTGACATGGTGGAAACAAGAATTTGATGATAAAAACAACGGGTAGATTGGTACACATAGGGGAAATTTATAAGAATACGGATGGGGATGAGGATGATGAGGATGATGGTTCTGCTGAGTAAGTGAGGGTAGAGGTAGGAATGGGAGCAGGGGTGGCTAGCAGCGGTAGGAACACACCCAACCATTGCACGTACTCCAACCCTTGCAGGAAGGCCTTCCTGGATACAATGCGGCGGGGAAGGGAGGTGTCCACCATTGCGAGTGTGCACACGACCAGGGTCGTAGACACTTGGACAAATGCATCCGTTCAGTACTTGCATGTTGGTGTATTCTTGGAACCCTGTGCAATGCGGCGGCCTTTGGACTTCTAGGGCCCACCCCAAGTTACACAGCTTGTGTCGGTCTCCGACATCTGGCCTATCATCTTGGTCACTCCGCTCCTGAGCTTGGGAACCGTCTCCTGAGACGCGATGTACCCGGACATTGGGATGGGATGGGGGGGGCCGGTTTACCTCCCGTGTAGTCTGTATAAAGTGTACCCTTTCAAGGGTGACCTTCTTTCCAACTTCTTTTTCTCCAATGGGTCTGGGTACCACCTGGCCTTTTGCTTCACATGAAAATCATGAAACAACCACCAAAACACAGCTTCAACCACCAAAGCACCATTCCAATCCACTGATCGCCCGCCCTGCGGGACCACTCAAAGGATCTAAAAGGGTCTCATGAGTGCCACTCCCCCGGCAGGGTCTCAGGGCCAGCATGGACCAACTGCACACCCGCCTCGTCAATGCTTCCGCCATATTGCTTGTGGCCTATCGGACCGGTCGACACGCGGGACCGGTCGTTCAAGTGAACACCAGGGCCCCAGTCCGACGGTGACGACGATATAACCCCCATGATAATACATGATATATTTACATTCATTGACCTGGGGATCATTTGGAGTGGTTGCGGGGTCAGTATGGCTCAGATAGGCGGAAGTCGATCTCTTTCAGTCCGTGTTGCGTCGATCAAGTTCACTGCATTTGGCTTGATAGTTCACCACGCCGCGATGGATTTCGCCTCTTCGCGACGCGATGGAGTCATCTTCGCTGGGTCCCCACACCCCAAGCGACCACCGCACCAGAGGCGCTGCGCGCGCAGAAGGCGTAGTCGTTGGCGCACAGGTCCACCACCTGGACCCGAAGACACGGTGGTGACAGGGTGAAACATGAAACTGGACCGAGAGCGCCCAGTGAAACTGGGCTGGACTGGCAGTGAGGCTATGCGTATTTTTTTGGAAGTGTGGACTTGTGGCCCGGCTATGGATGCCTGGCACGGCACCCTGAATCCCACTTTGTGACACTGAGTTACGACGCCAAGACAGAAGTTTCTTGCCGGGGTAAAACGTCCTCCAAGTCCCACGCTCGCGTCGAGCTTCATGGATGAAGCTCGACTAACAAAAAAAGATAACAACAATTGAAGGGGAGAAGGAGCAACATACGGTAGTACTGTAGTGAGGATGAAGCAACACATCAGTGGAACTACTGTACAGTGTCAAGCGATCAGCAAGTGACAAAGTTCACATCTGGAAACTTTGTGTCAGCAATGCCATCATCAGCTTAGACTTATGATGCTTTGTTGGTGGAGTCACCCAATTGGAATCATCAACATAAAACCCTTGCAGCACCGCTTCGGATCAACCTGCCAGTCCCAAAACATCCCAAACCAGCAGTCTGTCCAGTTCTCGGTTTGCAGTTCTCTACCAGGACACCCTAAAGTGGTGTCTATCAATAGCCCCTTAGAGGTTAAGGGGTGTCCATTAACCACCCCGACAGTGGGTCCTAATCGACGCTAGATTTTTGTGGCTCCACCAACTCCACGCCTTTTCCCCGGCCAGCTCGAACTCCGCCTGGGCGCGGGCGTCGGGCTCGCTCGGTCCGCTCGTAGGGTGGTCGAGCGAATCGAACTTGCCCTGGTGATCTCCCCGTTTGGAAGGTGCCCACCCACTGACTGTCATGCACTTTCCCTCCGTGACATCACCGCCTGGTCGTCGCCCCACCGTCGCGCTCCGCCCACCGTCCCCGCTGAGCCCATGGCCGGTGTGCAGTCACCACCACAGCTGAGCTCGCCCCAGGAGCAAATGGAGCCGTTCTGCAGCACCGCCGCAAAGGCCCGCGTGGTGTGATACAGAGCTACGGCTCCGCCTCGCACACACACACATTGCATGGATGCGGTCCGTGGTGGATCGGGGGGGTGAATGTCAACATATGTCAACAGGTCAACCTCGAACATATTCTAGGTCAAAGGCTTCCAAAGTAACATTGATTTGACAGCTTTTTAAGTTGTGCATGGCTTTTACCGATAAAAAAACTCAGAACCATTGCTGCAACTACGGATTTTCAACGACCAAGTCAACCTTTCTTTTTCACGGTCTTCGATTGACAGGGTACTTTCATGTACGGCCTCCACTTCCCTTCCCGTCAGCTTTGGCAAGCTGAGCAATGTCCCACCACCCAGCTGACGTCCCCGCCAACACCGAAATCGTGTTTGAACACCGATCTTCTCGGCCTCCAGCTTCAATCTTCTCGGCCACGTCCTGAGCTCAACACCCAAAAGCCCATAAATGCCTCAAGTTGGTGCAAACCGCAAAGGGAGTCTAACACAAAGTCACTGAAGTTGTCTGGAGTTGTAGAAGCTGCTTGGACTCCCAAAATGGGCTTAAACTCGAGGTGGCATGGAGACGCAAGCTCCATACAGCCTGAAACTCGAAAATGTAGAGCCATTGCCTTTTGGAACTATGACGTGGATTACGACATCGAAACTGAACAAATCTATGATCGATGTAGTAACATGAAAATATTTGTCATTCTTCCTTCCGGGCCCAAATTGTATTATGCATTCCTAAAATGCTTCTTCATTCTTCTAAAATGACACATATATTCCTATTTTACAATCCCTGTCTGGAATTGTCTGGAGGGTTCCGTGAGTCCCAGCAAAAAACAAAAAACAACTCCCAACGTTGCCATCCCACCACGCCCCACCGCTTGCCCCGCCAACCCGCCATAACCCGCTCTGTTCGACGAGCTGCCCCGAGGTCTCCGCCGGAGGTGGGATCACCCCAGCACACCACCTGGCCGTTGTCCCGGCGCGCCGCGAAGGCCCAGTCGTTGGCGATGACTTGCCTTGGCGTGAAACGATGTTCGGCTGCCGCGTGACGATACGTGTTCAGCCGTGAAGCGTGAGACGATACGCCGCTAACGCGCGTAGTGATCGTTTTTGCTTCGGGGTTCGGGGCGTGCCCAGTAACCCGATCAACTTGAATAACAAAAACAATGAAGGACAAAAACATCAAGAACCAACAAGCAACATCCAGTGACCAACATCAGCAGCAACAGCAGTAGCAATTTTCATGATGGATCCATCTGTGAATGCATGGTTCCAGACCTTTATGCATTTTGTACACTTCAGTGACGACATCCATGTTGCGCTCCCCGAAAAAGATCAAAAAAGGAATGAAACAGGCTCCAATTGGTTCCCCTATGCCCTACACAATCCACACCCAGGGCCCCGAAATTGAATCCCAAAGAAACCATCGGTGCTCTGTGCTCTCTGGTGTTTCATCTCAGTGTTCACATTCCTCATCCTCCATATTCTATAATCGCCATTGGAACTGCCAGGTTTCTACTTGCAAGCCTCCATCCTAACCAACAAAAGATGAATAAACAAACTCCCTCTTCAAAGTACCCACCCACCGCGATTTTGTAGAGGAAATTCCAACATCCCTATAGTATATCAATATCATACAATATTGTTATTGTGAATTTGTATGCATTGGAACATGCATATCATGATATGAGATGGCGGCCCTCTCATGTGACCATTTTGGCACAAGGGCCCTTGAGTCTGGCTCATCCGAGCCCCCGACGGTTGCGCAATGGAAAAGTGAGCGTACCGCTTGCTTTTGATCGTGACGGAGTTCTTTGATCCCCGTTGGTTGAGTTGTGACAGTTGCCTTTACAAGTTGCTGTTGATCCTCCGCTCACCATTTTACATGGTAGCGGAGCTGCCAAGCTCCAGGATTGCTTTGTGAGGTCCCGGCCTGATCCCGGGTGCGGTGCAAACCGCAGAGCAGCTCGTGCCATCTAGGTGCATTGCTTGTGCAGTGGTGCAAGGTTGAGTTGACGTTGATTGTTGAGCATTGAGCATTGATTGTTGGTTGTGGAACATTGTTGTTTGTTGTTGGCAGTTTGAGCCATGGACTACAAAGACACTCTCAAAGACCTCTACTTCGATGGGAAGCCAAGCGGATATCGTGAGTTCAGACGCAAGCTGATCCTTGGTGTTGCATCCCTTGAGGACAAGCAACAACACCTGGCCGGTCCTCGAGTCCTCGGAAGATTGTCTGGCGAAGCTTGGAAAGCGACCGAAAACATTCCAATTGCTGACCTTCGATGTGAACAAGGCTGGCTGCAAATTGTTCGGACGCTTGATCAGCATTACCGTTATTTGCCCGAGACCGAGCTCCACGAGGCCATAGATGAGTTCCTTTTTGGGTTGAAGCGGAAAGGACATGAGGGAGCCACTTCCTTCACATCCCGGTTCAAGACAAGTCTGCATCGCCTGGAAACGCTCATCTCACAGGAGCGTCAGCTGTCGAAGAAGCAACCGAAGTCCGCAGTCGAAGAAGAAAAGAAAAAGGAAGATTCGAGTAGTCTGGAAGAGTCGGACGAACATGCCCTACCTCCAGACGATCCCAATGAACAAACTGATGAAACTGAACAAGAAGCTGGAGATGAAGTCCGGCCAGAAGCCAAGGCCAGAGCAGCACCTCCTCCAGGTCCTTTTGATCCTCCCCTTGATCCTCATCGTCGGACGGGATCCACTCCATCGGTCCGAAGTGCGAAGTCGAGCTCAAAGGCTTCACAGGGGAAGTCCACTGGGACTCAGAAAGGTGACCAGCGAAAAGATCATCTCCGTATGCAACGTCTTCTTGGAACGTTGGAGCAGTCGCATACAAAGCCAAAACCGATTTTTCCACAGTCAGTTTTGGGACACTTGTTCATGAGAAAGTTTGGTTTGTCGCGTGAGCAACGCAGCCACATCATTCGTTCAACAGGTGGCTCCAGTCGATTTGTTGACATTGAGAAGATTTTGCGTGCTAGTGACTATGAGGAGAGATTGGATGACCGGCGACCACGGCTGGACGATCGTCGACAGGTGAGACCACGACGCGAAGCCTATGCTGTTGAACAAGTTGCTGAAGCTTCATCCACCTCCGTCGACCCACTTTCTGACTCCGGGTCTGGTGAAGAGGCCTACCAAGTTGAGGGTGGCGAAACATCTCTGGGTTCAGGTTCTGAGGAAGAGCTGCAGGAGATCTATGAGATTCAGAAGAAAGCAAAGAAAGAATTCAAGAAACAGTTTCGCACCTACAAGGAGTCAAAGAAGAAGGTGAGGGAAATCAAAAGAGCACGACAACCATACATGCCGGTGGTGGCCATTCCACCCACCGAAGGCGGCCAGTCCCAGGCTCCACTGGGAACTCAGGCTGCATCGTCCAGAACACCACGCTATGAGAAAAGGTCCTTTGACAAGAAGTCACCACAAAAGGACCCAAAGAAGAAACCACCGAGGCGTGAGGACGCCAACCTGACAGAAGCTGTGGAGATTGTTGACAGGACATTGACCGAGTTCAACTATGCCCTGACCGAGTCCACCGCTGCTGAACTGGAAATTCTCCTGGCCTCAATTCCATCGGGTTTTGCAATCATTGATACTGGTTGTACAACATCCGTTGTTGGCGAGGAAACAGCACAGAGATATCAGCAGGTTTTCAGACAATGCAATTTTCCTCCACCCGTGCGTGTCACAATGCCTACAGTTGAGCTTCGTGGCTTTAATGGTCAGAGCGAAACAACAGCTGTTGGTTTGAAGTGGACAGTACAGCTGGGTTCGTTGAAAGGGAATATCACGACATATGTTGTTCCTGGAAGCGCACCATTCCTGCTGTCACGAAGGGTGTTGGAGGGTATGCAGGCCACACTGGACTTGGGCCGAATGACCATCACGAGTCCAAAACATGGTATGCAAGATGTACCCCTGAAACAGGCCGCAAATGGCCATCTGCTGTTGTCTCTGGTGCCACAGGTTGCTGAGTGGGAGACAGTCCTCAACGACTCGAATACAAATGAGCCCAATCCGCATGAAGCCCAAGCGATGGACCGCCAGTCCATCTCCGTTGATCTCGAGCACCACCAAGAACTCAGAGGACAGGACACGAACAAAAACAGTGTTTTAAGTGCACCAAAAATGGAGCCAACCCCGTGTGATACTCGGAGGGCGTTTCAAACTGTGTGTAAACATACCAAACGAGGAAACGTCGATTGCAGTGCTTTTCGTGCCGAGCTGTCCCAATTGTTTTCATGTCCCGAACACCCGGTGGTGCATGCCTATGTAGCATATAAACCTAGACTAGAAAGGATTCCTGCCGAAGCCGAACGAACTTCACTTGATATGAATGTAGTCTCTATGGATAAAGATGGAAACATGCTCATGTCAGGATGGATCGTTCGTCCAGCCGGACGGGTCAGAAGACCTGTCAACCCAATGCAGGTTGCGATCTTTGCATTTCGATCCGAGCAAGCACCCTCTGAACCTGAGAGTGCCGGCAGTGAGTCCGATCGTGTCGAACCAGCAGAGCCGACGCCATCAGCGCACCAATGTGATTGTTGTTGTAATGATGACATAGAAGGGGATTGGGAATACACCATGCAATCAAACACCCTCGAAACTTTGTATGAAGAGGTTGACTGGGTAGATCTTGACTTGCAGGATGTTCCAAAAGAAACCCAAACGAAACTGAAAGACGCAATCACAGCTGCACGCCGTGTCGGTGTACGCATGGCTTTGTCGCGACTGCAGAGCAATCGGCAGGAAGTGCTTTCAGAACTTCGCCACTGGTTGGGCAACCAGGCTAGTAAACTTGACTCCAAGGTTGGACTCATAGAAGTTTTCACAGGAACAGCCAATTTGTCCAAACAGTACGAAAAGAGAAACCAGAAAACAGCAATCCAAATTGGGATAGATTATGGACATGATCTTGGTAGGTTGAGGGATAGACGAAATCTCCTATACCTGGTAGCCTTGACAAAGCCTGATCACATTTGGTTTGCTCCCCCATGTAAGTGCTGGGGTCCCTGGTCGAGGTTCAATATGGCATTTTCCGAGTCTAGGAAACAAGAAGTATTGAAAAAGAGACATCAAGCTAGAAGACATCTGCAATGTGTTTCGGAAACATGGCATCTCCAAACCATCCTTGGAGGTCATGTACATGCTGAGAATCCGCACTCGTCCGATATGTGGCAGGAGTTAGTGCTTGGACCAGCCTGGTCAATCCGAATTGACCAATGTGCACTCGGGCTCCGTAGCCCCAAATCCAACATCCCTGTCTTGAAGCCAACTCGGATCGTCAGCACTCAGGAGTCTTTGATGCAGCACCTTGTCCCATTTCGGTGCGATCATAAGCATGGTCATGATCATCTAGAAGGAAACTACAAAGGTAGAAATCTGACATCCTGGGCCGAGACATATCCTAATAAGTTTGCACGTGTCATGGCCGATGGTCTTGCCAAAAGTCTCCATGGACATTCGGGTCCAGATGCAGTAGAGATCTTAGCTCAAGATGAAGAAGAAGATCAACTAGAAGAAGAGATAGAAGATCGATCAGAGAGACTGCCAGACCATGACGAGCCAAATTCGAACAGCCGAAGTTTGAATCCCAAGCAGCTGCGAGTGTCCGCATTGGTTCGTAAATTGCATGTGAACACAGGTCATGCATCGACAGAACAAATGTTGAGGCTCGCGAACCGTTGCCAAGCCAGTCAAGAAATTGTGGACTGCATTCGGAACTTCCAGTGTCCCATTTGTAATGAACTCAAGCCTCCACCGTCATATCGTAAGAGTGCAATCCCCCATGCAGAGAACCCGAATGACATAGTGGGTATTGATTTTGTTCAAGTAGAACTCAAGAGAGAGGGACGTAATGGGAAAATGACCGAAGTCAAGTTCAACGTGTTGACATGTGTTGATATGGCCACAGGTTTCGCACAACAGATCATCGTTGAACGCGGTCCCAATCAGCTGTCAGTAGCTTTCCATAAGGTGTGGACACGTCCCTACGGCACTCCTAAGATAATATTCATGGACCCTGCCAAGACTAATCTCCCCCAGGATTTCCAAGAGTACCTAACACACCGTGGCATTCAGTTGTTGCATGCGGCTGCCGAAGCACACTATCAGCTAGGTCAAGTTGAAATTGCCAATCGCATTCTCAGGAACATGGCCAATCGTTGTTGGCCAGGCACTGACCGTCCACCAGAAGAGGTAATAGAAATGTGTGCAACAACCCGTAATGAACAACTTCGAAAGCATGGTTTCAGCCCAGCACAATGGTTCTTGGGAAGGGACTCACGCCATGTGGGAATGCTTGCCGACTTGGATGAGCAAAGAAATTTTGCTGCCCAGTCGCAAATCCTGTCAGATCCATCGTTTGCATCCAAGATTCGCCTTCGTGAAGAAGCGGCCAAGGCCTTTCATGAAGAACATGCGAAGGATGTTTGGCGAAGAGCTGTAGCCTATAGACATCGTCCCATGCGAGGACCATACGTACAAGGTCAACTTGTATACATGTTTCGAGCAGCAGGAAGAGGTCAGCTTAGCACAAGACATGGTAAGTGGTTAGGACCTGCCAAAGTAATTGGGGTAGAAAGTTCATCAAATAGTCCCATACCACGCCTAGTTTGGACAAGCTATAATGGCTATCTCTATAGATGTCGACCAGAAGGCCTCCGTCCAATGTCCGAAGACGAAACTGAGTTTCGAGCGCTTGCAAGAGAACTTGCATTAGGCCAGCTGGCACCGGAAACGGAAGCTGCAGGTAAATCATTGTCGGAGGGCGTCGCTCGTTTTCATGATCTCACAAAGGACATCCCTGGTCCAGAGGACTTCGAACTCAAGGAAGATGTAGAAGCCGAACCTCATCCTGAGACCATCGATGACAGACCTGATTCGGAGGGTAGACCACATAAGATAAGACGTAGATTCTATCGTTCCCCTGAATATTGGCAAAAGAGATCACGAGGCGAGATTCCACCTCTCGGCAGTATGCATGAACAAGAGTTGAATCAGCAGCCATTTGCCGCTGTTGCTCCTGAAGAGATCCCCGAGGATAGACTTGAGCCAGCCGATAAACGTAGAAGGGTTGTTGAAATTGATTCATCTCCAAGTTATGCACCCACCGAACCGCCAGTTCCTCTTGAAGAAGAGGGATCTCAGTCAGGCTTTCAAATGCACAACGAGCTTGATGAGCTCATGCCTGACCCAGGTGCTGTACCTGCACACCTGGAACCAGAGACAGACACTAATCCGCCCGAATCCGATAGCCCCGATAACACCGATGAAGTAATGCCTGAAGTAGACTCACGATCGAACGAGATCGAACCATCTGGCATAGATGTTCCCGTTCCAGAAGCTGGTGAAGACGAACTAGCGGTAACAGCCAGATTGCAACAGGCAGAACATGTGTTCGAACTTTCCATTGACGTCCATCCCGAAGACATCACTGAGAATCCTCTGTGTCTCTGGAATCTTTTTGAAGAATGCTTGCAAGCTGCGCCGCAGTCCAAGGCGAAGCAAAGAAGGGTTGAAGTCCAGTTCCGCAAACTCAATCCACACGACAAGAAACTGTTTCTCCAAGCTATGCAAAAGGAATGGCAAAGCTGGATTGACAATAAGGTGACTTCACTTTGCAAGGCTAGAGGGATTCCTACAGAAAGAATAATTAGAGCAAGGTGGGTCTTGGTATGGAAAAAGTCATCCGATCCTGATATCACATCCAAAACTCCAAAAGCACGTCTAGTTTTGGTAGGATGGCAGGACCCGGACCTAGGAAAGGTAGCAACAGACAGTCCAACTTTGCGTAAGGAAACAAAGCACCTTGTTCTATCCATTTGTTCAGCATCCAAGTGGAAGCTAAGGGGAGCCGACATAAAAACAGCGTTTTTGTCAGGTGATGAATCTTGCAGAAACATTTACTTTCGACCTCCAGCAGAAATCAAACAATGGATGAACTTGAGTACAGATGACCTGTTTCGTCTTGAGAAGGCTGCCTACGGCCTGGCTGAGGCACCACGTGCTTGGTTTTCCCGCCTGACCAGGGAACTTAAGGAAGCAGGGCTAACCCAGAGCCAGTTGGATCCATGTTTGTTTATGTTGAGGAGTAAGTCCGATAACACTTTGAAAGGCATATGTGGAGTACACGTAGATGACCTACTAGGTGGAGGTTGCAAGGAAATGGACCAAGCCTTGGACCGACTCCGAAAGAAATTGCCGTTCGGTGACTATCGTACTTTCACAATAAGATATACAGGAGTAGAGATTCGACAAAATCCAAATACGATGGAAATTGAAGTAGGACAAGAAAATTACATCGAGAATTTGGAACATGTTGAAACGAAGACTTTGGGAAACGCTTCAACGTCCCTTACAGATCCTTCTATCCTTAGAACTTGCGCCGGTCAGTTAGCCTGGGTGTCGAACTCGACACGTCCGGAACAGGCATTCCTGGCTTCGTATCTTCAAGGGGTTCAGGATAAGGGGAAAGTTGAACACGTCCACTTGTACAACAAAGCCGTGAGGGAAATGAAAACTAGAAAAATCTGTTTGAAATTCCCTAGCCACGTTCCAGTAAAAGATTGGCACATCGTGTGTATTGCTGATGCTGGCTGGTGTACTAGAGCTAACGGTGAAAGTCAAGGTGGATACATCCTATGTCTTACGACCAAAGACATCATGAAGAACAAGGAATCCCCTGTATGGATAATAGATTGGAGTTCTAAGAAGTTACGACGAGTAGTTCGTTCCTCAGTAGCAGCAGAAACCATGTCCGGTCAGAATGGACTTGATGCGATTGAGTGGATTCAATCCCTGCTTGCTGAGATCCTAGAAGGCCAATCGCCTCGAACATTTCGAGAACGAGTCCCAGAAAAGACAGCATGCCTCGTTGTTGATAGCAAGGGTTTCTTCGATGCAGTCACAAAATCGTGTAGCTCTCCTACTATTAGCGTAGAGAAGAGACTTCAGATCGACTATGCCATTGCAAAGGAAAGCATGTCCTTGCAGAACATCATGGTCTTTTGGACTAGTAACATTTTCATGTGTGCAGACGTGTTGACTAAACTACGAGCCGACACAGGACCTTTCTATAAACTCGTTGACACTTGGAAATACACCATCCACACCGGAGTAGAGTCAGGTAAGAAAGAAAAAGCCAAGGCTAGAGCTGCAGAAGCAGAGAAACGTCAACTAGATGAGCACTAGGGCCCATGCATGCATGTTGTGAAGTGAATCCAACATTTGCTTGGTGAAACTTAAGAATTTGTTAGTTAGGTTGAGAAACCATCCATTGCCAGCCACCTCGAACCAGTTCGTTGCTGAGGAGTCGTCCTGGTTGTTTTTCTCATTTTTCTTGTGCCGCATCGGTTAAACCGAATTTTGCACAGCCTTTTTGCTCCAAGGAGCGCACGACCGTGAAGTGTCGCCCATTCAGTCCCGCAGGATCATGTCGAAAGCAGCAAAGACCGATGATGAAGAATATCACATCCGGTCACCACTGACGGATCAGGATCTTAGCATGTGTGCCGGCCTTCTCCATCGAGCTGTCCGTTTCGGACAAAGTGCACAGTTGCTCCAGCGTGTGAACGACTGGGTGAAGATTCGTCCAGACCTCCGACCAAATGTTGTGGGAGCTCAGGTCATCGTGGATGCCTCCATGTCCGCCATGACTGATGCTGCGAAGCGACGCATGGATGCCGATGAGACCTCTCAGGCCTCGAATCCGTGGGAGCTCTTGAATGCCAATGAGCCTACCGGTTCAACCATGACACCGGAGCACCTTGCTGTGAGCCCAAAGGGATATGAAGCTGGAAAGGTGAACTTGTTCCCAGTGGCCAATGTGACCGATCCCTTGATTCCCTTGCCTGAAGGAATCAGCACCGTAGAGAAATGGGGACAGACCATCTGTCGTATGGATAAGGTGAAGGCTGAAAGCCTCACGTATGATCAAATGATCATGACGGCCCGCACGAATTCGAAGAAAGGAGAAGACATGCGTCAGTACCTCCAGTTCATTTTGTCAAAGTATGGTACTGGTGGAAAAGTGCCATCCAAGATTACCAAGGCCGTGGACTTTGCCATGTACCTTGAAAAGGTGAAATGGAAGAAGCCTGATTTTGAAGGTCTTGCTGAGAAGTACGGATTCAGCCGAGAGCTGCGTGACTGAACAGTGTCGCTGACAGCATGGTCCCATCTTCGCACCGCCATGAGGGCGTGTGAATTTGTATGCATTGGAACATGCATATCATGATATGAGATGGCGGCCCTCTCATGTGACCATTTTGGCACAAGGGCCCTTGAGTCTGGCTCATCCGAGCCCCCGACGGTTGCGCAATGGAAAAGTGAGCGTACCGCTTGCTTTTGATCGTGACGGAGTTCTTTGATCCCCGTTGGTTGAGTTGTGACAGTTGCCTTTACAAGTTGCTGTTGATCCTCCGCTCACCATTTTACAGTTATACTCTTGATTCTTGATGAATAATCAACCCATCATCTGGACTGCGGGAACCTCCTCGTATCTTTTGGGATGGCCCCGAGCTCGCCGTTTTCACCTCTGCCGGCCGAGCTTCAGCACGTTGCCGATCAAGCTTTGGGCCACTGTGCTGGCATCGCCGCCCGCCTGCGGATCGCCCCAGGTATGGACCGTGTAGCCCAAACCTCGGGCTCGCGCGGACGACGGTGGTAGGAACGGACGGTGGCTGGGACGGACCAAGGAGGAACACCTATAGGGTGCATGTAGGGCAGCAGGGCCAGCATCCTTCTCTCCAACCCCAAAGCCAATGCCATGTCGTGTTCTTGTTCTCTCCCTTCTGACCCTTTCACCATACGAGCGCCCCGCCACAGGCTCGCCCAACCAATCGGATCCTCCGTTGCTCCGTCCGAGCGTCTCATGGGATCCTCCTTCAGTGCGGCAAAGGCTTTCAAGCTCGGCACCACGTCCTGCCCGTTCTGCGGACGGAACGGACCGTTTGGCCCAAAGGCTGAGCACACGAGCACAACGGACAAACTCAGTATGCACACTCAGTATGCCCATAGATTTGGATAGGTTTTGACTGGGAAAATCCAACTGAAAGTGCAACCACAGACCATTTGACTTGTATACGTGCAAACGATGCAGATCCAAAACGTAGTTGGGTACACGTGGTGCTTACACTCTGTGGCACCTTTCCGGTCTCATGCACTGTCTGGGGTAAAGGTTCCATGAATTCCTCATTGGGCGCTAAGGATACAAATCTATGCCTGCGACTGTCAGTTGCGTGCAGTACATCACCGTTCCATCTTAAACATGCCCGCAAAACATGCTATATACTCAGTGTCGCTCGGTGTGATAGGTTCAAAGAATGCCCCGAAGAAAAACACACAGCCAGGACTTCCAAAGGGGTGCCCGGTCCACTCACTTAAGACATCTTAGGACTGTGACTATTTCATTGTCAATGCCATCTGTGTGGAACTCCGGGCCAACGCTTCTAGGTCAACAGACCGACCGCTCCTGTCGGGGGGCGACTGAAAACGGTGTGATCATGGAAAAGAGCCATATGTTTGTGTTGGAATTCTGAATGTCCCTCATCTACAAACTAAACTGTATGACCATCGGCCCGTCAATAGGATCATGTTGCTTGGAAACACTTGGCACCTGCCGAAATTGCAAAGCACATGGATTTGCAACACATTTCGCTGCAGCTTTGTAACACCAAATAGGTTGCAACATGTTGCATCACCAAACTAACGCGTGTCAACCAAATGCATTTCCAACCAAGCGTCAACCACACTGTGCTTCAGCATGTGGGCAGTGCTTGAAGCATCACCCCCGAAGTCGGGGTTTCCCCAGCACACCACGGAGCCATTCTCCTGAAAGGAAAAGGAAGAGGTCGGTCCAGAAAAAAAAACATGTCTGAGAGGTCAAAAAACACCTGTCCTCCAGCAAGGCTCAAGAGGACTAGTACTGGATGTTATAGGCACATGCTACGTTTGTGCCTGCTGGAGATCTAGTGTTGGTGGTCTGTTGAGGCCTAACTCATGCACAATGGTTCAGTTGGCGCAAACTGAGCCCGAGCAGCTTCGATCCTCCATCTAGACCCAGCTAGGGCTTTGTCTACACTGTAGGTTCCTGAAGTTTCCCAGATATCTATTGCCGTTCTGAGTTCTCATTGTTTCACTAATGTCCCTGAAACCTGCAAACTGCTCGCAGCTGCTAGTGTTTCTAGAGAAGCGCCGTCTTCCAAGAGAATGAAGGGCAATTGTATAGGTCACCATATACCAGGGCAAGGGGTGTCTAATACCCTAAGAGGTTAAGGGATGTCCATTCACCACCCCGACAGTGGGGCCCTGGGGACCCTGTACACATGTCGACTACTCATTCCTTGCGTCCAACGTCACCCAGCCAGTCCTTCAGGGCCGCAAAGGCACGCCCGTTGCCACGGATGTCCACCACGCCAGACTGCAGAGATGTGCCGCACGATGTGCCGCAAAGGGAACGGGGAGACTCCAGGAGACCCGAACATGCTTTTCTTCAAGCTAATAGATTCTTAGATGTGAGTCCATGGAAGGTGGGAGTGTCCCGCCTTTTCTGATGCCAAATGGTGGGTTCTTTCTGGCGCCATCCGCCTTTCGGGGAGTCACGCGGTGCGCTTCTGCAGGGATCGGCTGTTACATATAATTGCTTCAAGCTGACACGGTAGGAACCTCGAAATCTCTGCAACAGAGTTCTTTCAAAGCTCCGCTCCAGAATGTTCCTGGGCATTTCTCCGTTCCTGATACTCGCAGCATCTTTCAGTCGGCAAGTTTGAGAAATGAATGAGACATGGCCATAACTTCTTCAATGCTGTCAGCACGCTGTCAGCTCCTTCCAGAAGGTCCACATGCTCTTGGGATGACTCCAAAGCTGCCGGCTCTTGAGCTCCGGCTCTGTCTGAAAGCGACTCCAACCCCCTCCAGAGCTGCGAATTCACTCCGCCCTCCCCCCGGCCCAAGAGTCTGCTCCCAGCCTGGAGCTGCTCCCTCACGTGGCTGGCATCACCGCCGCAACCAGGCGCCCCCCAAGCGACCGCGCCACCATCTGCGCCACCATTGGGGCGAAGGGATTTTGGTCAAGCTGAGGGATTCGACTCGAGTCTTGTTTCAATGCAATTGGTTTACCCGGAGAAAAAGAAGCGAGCAAGTTCGATGAACCTCTCTCCCAAGTGGCTGTTGGCATGAACTGTTTGACCTATATAGGGGTTTACAAAGAGCTTCCCATGCCCACAAGGAAATCATGCTTGGGTCCCTCCAAATCGAATCCTGAAAGTTTCGCTCCTTTGATCGTTTTTGGTGCAACTTCTTCTCCCAATCCCCAACAGCTCGAGAGTTGGGCACGGGTCACTAGAGAGTTCTGGACCTCAATTCATGACCTCTTGGAGAGTTCTGGACCTTCTTGGCCCTTGGCCCCTACTGCTGGCCCTCCACAAGCAGTGCCTTTTCCTCAGTTTCGGGTCGGCTCAGCAAGAGTTTACCCTGCCGATGCAGTCGCCCTCAAGTTCGTGGCTTCGATCACGTTCAAAGACTTTGGGCCCATGGAGTGAGTGGTCAACCCCGCTCACCCGGGCCGCCGAACCGCCCCAAAAAAAGGCACCAACAATCCGGGCTGGACACCCCTAGAACTTGAACACCTTTCTGCTTTTGGACGCCCATTGCCACCTGTGGTGATGGCTGCAAAGGCTCGGAGATTGCAGAAGACACTGTCCAAATTCTTGATATTGGCCTTGCCATGTGGTTCGCATAAGCACACACGATTCCAGCTCAAAACGGTGGTCCAACAAATAAACTACTTGGCACTTCATTAGGGATCCGGAGAAAACCAGTGGATAGAGGGCAAAACGACATCAAGTGGAATTGGTGAGTATACATAGAGTGCAACATGATTGGGATTGTAACGGGTAGTAGCACATCCCGGGATTTGAACAAAGGCTGGACCAGCTACAGTACACACCAAACTGCCTGGTGGAACGTCATCTTCTCAACCTGGTCTTGCGAGCCTCTTTTATATAGCTATTTATAGTATGGTAGTACATATCAATGTAGCCGTGCTAGTTGCGGTAATAGTAGTTTCTGGTAGCCGTCGTCGTCGTAGTAGTAGTAGTTGTTGTTGTTGCTGCTGGTGTTGTTGTTGTTGGTCCTGTTCTTGCTGCTGCTGCTGTAACGGTTGCAAAAGATCTTGGGCCCTGCTACTGTAACTTCCGCGATATCCCCAAGATTCCCCAAGTGACAACTGATCCATCAGTCAAAATGGCTTCTGCGATGCCCCCAATTGAACTGTGCTCCTGTTGCAGCAAAAAGCTTCAGAACAAACCAATGACGTTAGATTATGACGTTTGCTTCGGCGCTTTTGGAGATAGCCAAGCTAGCCAAGGTGCATGTGGTAAACCGTACACCGTAGGAACCAAGCACCGACTTGACATGACCAAGTTGGATTTCGGGTTCCATGGCGCTGATCCGGGTGCTTATAAAGACTGGATAGGGGTTCCATGGGGTTCCAATCCACTCAGTGGATGGGTCCGGGGCCAAGTTCGATTGACCGAAAGGCCCGAGGGTCTTGCCGCCAGTCAGTATGGTCTTTTTGCATGCAGGGTGGCTTTATGATCTTCCAACACCCGAAAGTGCCCTGCATCCTCCCGCAAAAGCAACGATGTTGGCATATGATGGCTACAATCCAGTAATGTCGCCCTGTTGGGTGGCTTTATTATCAATAAAGCAGTAATTCGTCATGAACATCAGGGACCTGATGCCCCCAAACTCTGGACTCGTGCCTCCTTGGATCACCGGTCTGGTCTTTCTCCGGCACCTCTCATGTTTCCGCTCGCCTCGATGACTGCCCCTGAGGTGGGTTCGCCCCATGCCACCACTGAGCCGTCCTCCTGACGCACCGAACGGACCGACCCACTCGGAGGAGTAGTTAGGGGTAGTTAGGACCATCCGGAGTCTGAAAGAGACTCGGCTTCGGACTCGTGTTTGAGTCCAAACATGTCCAAACGACTACATGGGACGCCCCAGAAAGCACCCCAAATGAAATTTCATTCATATGACGGTCTGATGATGTCTGATGGAGTGCTTGGGGAATATGTATTCCTGGATGTTGTATACTACGATCGGCTGCTTTAAGCATGGATCGTGCTAGTTGGAGTCTCGGTTCCAACTCCCAGTTCTGCAGCACTGCGCAACCCAGCAACGTTTGAAACCAGTGCAATTCTTGAGTCGAACCCCCCCCCTATAATCCCTAAAAATCCAAGCACCTCCTCAGGTATTGGAACCCTCCAAACCCAGCCCAGTCCCAACTTCTCAGAAGGTACGACTGGATCCCTAGGGAATGAATCCCTTCATCCTACCAAATCCGCGCACCACGTCGAAGAACACCGACGTATACAACGCGTTTCGAAGCACCCCCAAGCCGAAGCTCCGCGCGCGCCTTGGCGGCCACAAAGGCGCCGGTGTTGCTCCAAAGGTTCACCACGCCACTCATCAGTTTGGGCTTCACCGCCTTGAAGAGCAGGGGGGGGGGGGGGGGGGGGGTCCACTCTTGAGGTGGAGAAAGAAGGGGAGGAACATGGAGGAACAGGTTTGGAGGTGGGAGTGAAGTTCGCGAGCTGAAGAAAGAGCTCAACTTCAGAGTGCCCGGAGTGCCCATGTTCATCGCTAGAATTATCACTGACAACCAACCACAACTAGTGAACATGCACGCCAAGCTGGCATGTGGCTTGGCTACTGACGGGCTGCTAATGACATCTAGGTCACACGTCCTTTTTTGAGCGCATGATTCATGAAACTTCTGTAATTGCACTGCCTTTTTGGTAGAGTGGGGTTTACGAGCTCCTCACAGCTCCCTCCAAGACTCCTCAAGAGAGTTCAAGCATGCACCATGAATTTCATAGTTCTTGCATGCCTACCGAACAACTGTTGTTTGACTGAGATCTGGTCTTGGAAAGGGTTCAATGAATCTTGGACCTGACTTACTATGGACAAGTGGGCCGTCCGCTGTCCTCCCCATCCATCCCCCCGCAATCTGCGCCTCAGGCAGCTCTCCTCCTACGCTGGGGTCGCCCCAGGCGATCACCTTCATCGACGGTCGATTCATCAACAACCCCCCCTACCAGCATCGAGCGCGACGGGAAGTTTGTCTGAATTTGCTTGCGCAGGTTTACGCGGGTTCCTTAACAAATCTTAACAGTCAACATGAATTGTCCGTTCTAACTTGGCAAATCTGCGAAACCCTGCTTGGTGTAGTCACATGAGAATCTGATTGCTTCTTGCAGTCTACACCAAGTGGACACGTCTATGTACTCCGATTTGGGAGTTTCTCCCTTTTCCGACCGTTTTTCAACCACGGCAGCTCTTCAGCTCTGTTTCCTCCAAGGTGCTTGGCCGTTCTCCTTCAAAGCTGCAAAGGCGAACTCGGTGGCGCCTCAGCGGTTCATTGGTTCTGTAAGACGCCAGGAGGTGGCCCAGCCACCGAGTCGAGGGTAGTTAGATAGGAGTGGCTCCCAAACGTTGCATGGGACTGGAATCACATCCCCTAGGGGTGGGCTGGGGCTGGGTGCCAGGAGGGTTCAAATACCTTGTGAGGAGGTACTTGGATCCCCAGGGGTTGATGGCATTCGCCAAACGCCTGTGAGACAGTATGCCATCAATTGGTGATCTCTACGTGGGAAGTGCCATCAATCAACCACCTGAGGCTCACCTGCGGCTGGATCCTGGAACGAATAATTAGGTTGCATCGTTAGATGTTAGGAAAAAAAACAGGCTGGATTTACATGCAAACATGTGCGCGGCAAACAGGTTGATGGCATGTGGGCTTGGTGGTGTTGCGGCTTTGATCAAGCAATGTCAGCAATGTCAGCAATCAAAGTGTGATTCCCGTATATCTACGTCGGCATCTTTTCAACCACCCCCATGTATATAAATATATACATGGAGTGTTTATGGATGTTTATGGCTCGTTTACGGCTTTAGACCGGCCAAGGATTTTCCAAAGAGCTTGGTAGACCCAACCCAACCCTGCCCATGAACGGTGCTCCAGCAGGAGTCGGGGCGATGTTGAGTCCCATCCATGCAGTGAGTGGATCTTCTGGGTAGGCCCTAACCTCCATTGGATTGCAGCCCGACATGGAACTGTTGGCAGCAACACTTCAATGCAGACTGCATGGGTGTCAAGTGGATTCAACAGATTTACCCCCCCAAGTTGTGGCAGTTTATGGTGCTGACACCTCTAATTCTCTGCCACACTCCAGATCATCCCAACAAATCGCACCTGCGTCTGACGGTACATAATGTTTTTCTCCTTACAAAGGATAGTGAAGGGCTAAAAATGCTGCGTCTCAGCCAGCCAAACGTTGACTGCCGGCTGCCCTTACATGCTTCACCTCACTTCACCCGTCGAGCCACACACCTTTACCACGCCGCTGGTCAGGGCGGGTGCTGCCTCCTGGGGCGCACCGCCGGCATCGGCGTCGCCCCAGCCTGGGTGCACCCAGCTGTGCGGCCACGCAGTCCGGCATCGTTTGGGATCGTCTTGAATTCATCTGAGAAAATTGAACACATCTTCAGCCCAACATCCTAGCTTGTGCGACGGAACTCACCACCAGCTTGTGTGATGGAAAAAACACGAGCCTCCTCGAAACACAACTTCACGATGGGTCAACATGGGTCAAAAATGGTCAAAAGGTGTTCTACTAAGGTTGCTACTGAGGTTTGCATCCTTTGTGTTGTTAATTGTGTAATTGTGTGTGTTTTTGCTGATTTTTTTGTCAGCTTATGCCATCTACCCTGACCAAACTTTCAGTCAGCGTAATTGCTGATCGTGAACCACACGATTTCACGTACTGTGATCTCTTGGATATCTTCTGCCCCTGTCCATGCAGCACTGGGCCAGTGGAACTGTCAAAGCCCTGCAAGTGAAAACCCCATCATTCCGCATCAGTTTGCCTGTTGTGGGACTCTAGTGGCTACGCCGTTGGAGGATTGAGGTTCAATAGGTCATGAGTCATGAGTCATGAATTGATCGTCTTAGGACCCAAACAAGAGACGCAAGTTGATGGAAGGGACGCTTTTTGTACATTTGGTTCATCGTCTCATCCAAGCCGCATACCAGTTGGCCACCTTCACGAAAAGCAGTAAAGGCCTCAGCCAAGACGACGCACCGTGGGATCTCTCGTTGGATCTACAAGTACCATACCAACTCGGGCTTCCATGGTGGACTAAAACAAAACGGTTCCGCGGGGATGGAACAACTAAACTGGGAGGATCCTTGCCAGCCTCACTGCACATGCCTGGAGGTCTTTGTTCAATGAGCGTGGTTGATATAAATACAAAATGGAGAATTCAGTGCTTTCTTTAAACCGTCGAGTTCATTCGAACTCTCTCTCTCTCTCCCTCTGTCGCTACAATGTGTAGGCTTGATGACGCTCTTCAGGCTGGAGGCGTGAAATATCGTCCACAAATGGCCATGAAGCATCTCATCGCACTGGATCCCCTCAACATCCCTGGCCATCCACCCCTTCATTCCGCGCGCTTCAGCCCAAAGCGAGATGCTACAAGTACGCATGAGCTCGAGATCTCCATACCCAGACACTCTATGTATGTCATATTTACCTACATTGGGGTGGTGCCAGAGGGGTCAATGGGGCGGCAGTCCTATGGCAGTCCCATGGAGCGTCTGGGTTATATTATACACACCTCTATTGCATTAAAAAAACACAACGAACGAGTCGCGGAAAGCAACCAAAGCAACCGCAAGCCGAGGCGCCCATTCGTTGTAACACAGTTGAAAAGCTCGGCTCTTCAAGTGCTCCGCCACGTGTGCGGAGTTCCCCCCGCAGGCCGGGTCTCCCCAGGTGGTCACTGAACCTGTCGAACGGTCCGAACGACGGTTCGGTCGGTTCGAATGGTGGGAATCCTCGGTCGAACTCATTGGTTTACCTACCCAAAACCAGGCCAACAAATAGGCCAATTCCAATGGTTTTTAAAACACAATGATGGTCTTAGGATGGTCATGGATGGTCCTTTTGGCAAAACATCGGGCCGGGGGACCGATTTGGTTATATCTACCGAGATGGGTCGCTCACGATCGGGAGTGTCCCCTCTGCTGATCCACCCACCAAGGCCATTGGCCATCGGTCTCATCGGCATGGCGAGATGTTCGCACCATCCACGTGTTTGGGCGCCCAGTTCTGGGTCAATCATGGTCAATCTGGTTGGAGTGGAGAACGTCTGCAAGTGCAGCCCATGGGATATCTGTGGGATTTCGTTGAACAATCCTACAGCCGGCGCTGGAATATTTAAATTGATCCAGGCGACCGTTACCATCGATACCGTGGCCACGCATTGAAGTATATATTCTTCAACCAGTTTCACATGCATGGCTGGTTGCCAACAACTAATGCTGTGTCGGAAGCCCCAATGGCCTAGCAGTGGTTCCTTGAGTTTGGGCTGGCAGTTGAGTGAGTCCCACACTAATTCACACTTGGGTCTGAGCTCAGGGTGCTCACGTAGCTCACACGCTTAAACTTCAGGACCTCAACCCCCTAGCTGCTAGCTGAACAATTCCACCCTTGGATCCCAGCCTATTCCAGCTCCCCGCAGAAAAAGCCTCATGCAGCTGCATTCCTCGAAAAAGCGGACATGGTCATTCCTCCCCACCTCAAAACCTCCAAAAACCCCGTTCCCCCAGTGCCAATCCATGCATCACCACCCACCGGTTCCTTGTCCCGTTTTTTTCACGCACGCGCGACGTGCCAAGAAATTGCACTGTCGACCATCGGTCGTCCGCGCCTTGTTGCCCCACGGCGGCGAAGGCACGCGTATTGCCCACCACGAAGGTGATGCCCGCACTCAACCGCTCCGAAAGGGACCACGGGATGGAGCCGCCTAGTTCAGGCGGCTTCGACCCCGAGAATTCAGACCGAGGAGGTTGCATGGGCGAGGTTGAAAAGCGGGACGCGCATTGGAAGACTGTGTGTTAGGGGGGGCCAAAGAAACACCAAAGCAGCAGCACCCACACAAAGCCACACTGGTGAAGTCACTATGGTCTCAACAATGGCCCCTTAGAGTTGCATCGAAAAGACTGCTCCAGTCAACCTGGCCCAAACCATTCGTGGAATCGTTTTACTATGTTTGCTATATAGATGCTGAGCAAATAATATTATGCACTCCATTGATGACACCAACGCAAATATATACCCTAAACTTCGAAAGTCTTGGAAAATCGAAGTCTTCCAGCAACGACTTAAACTGGAAATGAAAGACTTAAAAATATTCACTGTATTTGACGAAACTATATATGTCATGTTGAAGTGATCTGAACATCATCAATTAATAAAGCTTCAACCCATGTTTTCGCATGTGCATGTACATAGTCTCAAATCGTCAAGCCGTTTTCCAATCCTTTCACCGGGCACGAAGCCAATCTGTTCATCCTTTGTGTGGATTTTTTTCGTGGACAGTGCTGTGTAAAAGATGTTTCAAGTGGATTCTCAGAGGTGGTGGTGTCCACGACCTGTTTAAGTCTTTCCACGACTTTTTAAAGTCGTTCCATGCCTTTTTTCAAGTCGTTCCACGGTTTGTCCATGGTCAGTCCACTGTTCATTTGGTCCGAATGGGCAAGAAGATCCGCACGCGTCACGGATACAAACATGCGATCAGTATAAATCCAGTATGTGCAGTAGCAATTAAAGAACGTTTGACAACAACTGTGTTGAACTTATTTAACCGTAATTATGTTCCATGCGCATGCACTGTTGATTCCTGACTTTCAGACCCCGTGCTACCATCCAAAGGGGATCGTGTCGCGGTATGTCTAAACAATAAACTTTTAAGTCGAGGCTGCAAATCTAAGTCGAACTTAAGCAAAGTAAGTCTTGGACGCATAGGGTGTATATATATATATAACTTGAACAGACTTGAAATAGTCTGGGTGGTTTTGAGGACCTGTGACATGTGCACCAAGAGCACCGACATGAACCGTTGCGTCTTTCACCAACCGCTCACGGACCGCTGAAGGACCGCTCCTGCCGTCGGATCGCCCCAGGCGACAAGGCCATAGACGTGGATGAAGACCACGGCAGTGAGTTCGACCCTGAGGCGCCCAGCGAAGCAAGATCCCATCGGATTCAGGGTCAGGAACGGAGCTTGAAAACTGGTCGGGGAACGGTCAGCTTTTGAGATGAACGCCCGAGATCAGTCACTTGCACCGAAGAAGTCCAGGAAATGAATCTTTTATCGTCCATCAAACTCCTTGTCCCAATCCAATCGATGATAGCAACTTGTGTAATGAGTTTTTCTCACGTTATAGAGAAACACTCAATCCAGGTTATAGCAACTTGATGTAACTTGTGTTATGTCATTATACCCACAACTTGTAACAGCGTGTGGGTCTTTGGCCTCTTCTTTGGCTCGTCTGTATGGCTTCGGTATGTTTGCTGGGAATAGACATGTAGACTGATACATGTAGAATATATACTTGAGAGAGGAGGGGGTGAACGAAAGGGGTAGCAGGCAATCACAAGTAACCCTGGTAGAAGTCCATGACGGCGTGAACCGGCGCAGGGGGGATTTGATCCAGGGGCCCCCCCCCCCCCCGACGAACAGAATCAACTCTTACAGGACCAAACTCAATGCACAATCCCAACTCCTGATTGTAATACATTTTTGCTAAAGCAAGGAGAACTCAGGTAGCTCAAGCTACCTTTCGTGATTTACAGAATATATACTATAGGACCCTCAAGGGGTGGTTAATGGACACCCCTTAACCTCTAAGGGGCTATCAATAAACACCCCTTAGGGTGTCCTGGTATATGAATACAAAAGGAGTGCCTTCTTTGGGTGACTGACTTTTCTTGTGGCCCAAACATTGGAGAGAAAAAGCCTTCTTGAAATGCTTTCGCACACTTTTGTGGGGACCAGATGGGACAAGCTAAACATCATTTTGGGAGATCTGGGAATTACACCCCTGTGGATCCACAAAAGCTCTCAAAGGGTGATTCAATGACTTTTGTGCCTATGTAGACGCATGTAGACACCAAAGGGATCCAAAAGGGTCCAAAGAGCTTCTAAGGAGCTAAAGATTGGATCCCGGCGATCCTCGGAATTGATAGAGGACCAAGCACGGAGGATATAGGGTTTACCATGGTTTTTCCCCGTGCAAAGGATCCCAAAGTCATAAGGAAGATCCTGGAAGATCATCTCCTACTTTCAAGAAGTCCATATGGTCCTCTGCAGGAGGGTTTTGGGGGAGCTGCTAGTAACAAATGGCATCGCTGCTACCAGTAGCTCTTGGCCACTACTACTAATAACAACCCACTAGGTGGAGGCCATCGCTACTAGTAACAGGAAGGCACAGCCCACCAACTCGCAGCTCCACCAACGCCCCCTCCGCCTGGCCGCTGGCGCCTCGTCCCGGGTGCCTGGAGATGGTGAGACCATGGGGTCAACATGGCTCTTTCCATCCGCATGAACAAGAACAAGTAGTCCTTCTTGATGCATTGGGTTCAGCTGTCCTGTAGTTTTCTCTGTGCTTGCTGCAGCTGGACATGCCGCGGACGTGGTGTTTTCTGACCCCCTGGTGGCACGTTGCAAAGCAAATGCGTATCCTATTGGCATGTTCTGGCATACTTGGGACAAACTGAACATGAGCATCGCTCAGTCTGCGTCTTGCTCCTCGAAACCGTCTTTCTGGAGTGGGCAGTAGAACCGGTTCTGCGCTCCACGGCCCTCCACGATCGACACATCGACCGGTGCTGAGAACCCGACTTTCTGCCGCGATCGCCCCGCGTGTTGGGGTGGAGGGCAGGCTAGCAGCCACGCTGGCCAATCTCCTCACAGCATGTTCACGGCATGTTCACTCATCTGTTGGAGAACAACATGGGCTTCTTTCCCACCAGGTGGGGCACACATTCCAACCCACTGGGTTTGCTCACCTCGTGATAGTTTGAGACTAAATCTGGTTGCTCACCTTCGCCTTGGGGGGGCTGCGCAGCCAGAACACTGCCACTGAACTTCACGCATCCTATGGAGCTTCTTAGGCTGGTGGCTGGTGGCACTCTCTAGGATGGGATCCATTATTGTCTGCCCAAATTGGAGAAGGGGATGGATGGATTGCATCAACGGTATGGTTCGGATCAGCTGTGCTTCAGCAGCTCAGCAGCTTGCAGCAGGGACTGCAGCCACTTTCGCCCAGTTTTTCGGTACTCCACTCGACCTGTTCAAGTTATATTAATGACCATGGTCATACATGCCGACATGCCAGGCCTTTCCACTTATGCTGCACGTGAAGGAGAAACATAAACAGGTCCCATTATGTCCTATTGAGAGATGGAGGGACATGAAGGAATCGACCATGGCCTCTCTCGTCCCGTCGCTACTGCTTGTGTCCCGCGTGAACTAATTATGCATGTGATATCGTATGTGTATATATTTATTCCTATGTCGAATATGACCCAACTCATCACATCTCATCACAACCGTGTTTTCTCTTGGAAAAGGCTGCGTTTTCTTCGTTGTTTGCTTCGCCAAGGGTCGCCATGGTGTCGGGTGAGAAGCTGCCTTCACCTGCAGTAAGCGGAGGTGTCACTGGTTGGCGTCACTTGGGTTGTTTTCGGGTTGAGTCCAAAACAGAAGTGCTAGGTATGTCTAGTTGACTAGGTGATTCATTGTGAGTCATACGTGCGAGCATGGCATAATCTGGAGCCATATTCTAATTGGTCCGATCACTGGTCCGATCTTTATATAAAGTTGTTACAAAGTATATCAGAAGATATCAGAAGTATGAAATAGAGCAGGTAGGAGCGGGGAAGATTGTGCTCTGCATGCACCTCTTGCGTTGATATTCTGACTCTTGCGGCTGGCGGTGCATGTCCACTCACAGCCTGAGACCCAGAAGTTTCGCGTGAGAGACCCCAACCTGCCCGGCGCTTCCCTATTGTTTGGTCAAGTTTTGGGGGGGCGAACAAGAACCATCCAAACCCACCCCAATGTAGGCATCATATCATCTACGGCATACATGCAGTGTTTCTCACCGTGGGATGGATCGCTCCGGATCTCCGGAGAAGTCCCGCCTTGATCCTCAGACTCCAAGAATAACATCTGCAGCGTCTCCTGGCGACCCGGTCAAACCGTCACGACGTCGTCCCGATCTTCGAAGAGCTGCCCTGAGAGGTGGGTCGAAGCTTGGAGAAGTGAATGGGCTTCTCATGAGGATCGTTGGATCGTGATGTTGTTTCATGAGTTGGATGTGTTCACTCGCACCACGATGCATTTTGTAAGGATCCAGTCGTACCTTCTGAGAAGAAGGTGTTTGGGCTGGGAGGGTTCAAATACCTTGTGAGCAGGTACTTGGATCCCTAGGGATTGGATATTTAGTCAGTGCGCGGCCTGCTTCCAAAACTTCCATCTGTCTGGGCTGTCTGGGTGCTTAGTGGAGGATAGGGGTGCCCTGTGTCCACTGACTTCAAGGCCCACCCATGTGTAACTCCTGGTGCCTAAAGAATCATTCATAATCGCATTTGTGGACTGTTGATGACTCAAAAACCCTCCCATATGGAATCTGAATGACCATACCTCTTTGGAGGTTGAATTCATCAGCAGTCAACATCTAAGCAACTGAGGACACCGGGAACTCCGCTTCGACCGCATCGGCGTCCATGTCATCCACCGCTCGACGCTGGTGCAGCAGGTGCACGACCTGAGGGCGTTCAGCGCTGCAAAGCCCCCAAAACCCCAACCTGAGGTGACTCCGATCTGGCTGTTACACTAATGTAGACTCATGATGAATAGACCTCTCATATGAAGAGAATTTGCAATCCAAATGGGTGATTCAAGAATTCTTAATTCTATCTGTGAGGATACACAAACAAAGCAGGCACCTAATTCAGGAGGCTTGTGTCGAATGGCTTTCCCCGGAACAAAGCGTACCGGACATGCTGGGTAAAAGCATCTCTCTTGGCTTCAGGAATTTCTAAAAAGCCAGGCCATGCACAAGACGACATCCCGGTATGAGTGCTGGTGGTATTATATCTGTATGGTATGGGGGGTCGTGTGGCATTGCACGAAGCATATTTTCTACATACTGGTATGTCACATCTGCATTCGGCAAAGTAGGGTGGCGGGACACCCCTAGACGGGTAAGGCTCTTTCGTTACTAGGGCTTCGTGGTTTCACTCCACTATCCCACCAGTACCCGCTGGAACATCCGGCAAGGGATTGTGTGGGGGGCGCGTCGATTACCGTCCGCGAGTTCGTGCATCCAAATCGGTGCGTTTTGTTCGTCAAGAGTCTATGTCTATGTCAGACTGGTCATTGGTGTAGACATGGGAACCATGGATGGACATGGTCCCGTTTTTGTGGAGGACGCCCTTGAGAAGGTCAATAAGGTCTCATGTCCGTTCGCAGTTGTGAACCCCGAAAGCACAATCTAGGTATGGCAAGCCAATGAGTGAAACAAGAAGCGCAAGAACCTGACCTGCATGTCTTGTGGTTGCAGCATGTTTGCGGCACCCTCAAAAAGCAACTTCTGCTGCCAATGGCACCGCGCCCAGCGCGATAAAGCTATAGAGCTGCAAGGCACGGCTGGAGCGGCCTTTGATCACCTGGCAACTGCTGGAGCAATCCGAAGGAAGCAACGAAACGAGTGTGATGAAAGAAACGATGTGTCCTAAGAATCAAGACGGGTGGCGACCCTATGGATCCACATACCTAGTCAAAAGGTACTTGGACCCTCCAAGCCTACACAAAAGAGTCTCCCTGCTCACCTTCTCAAAGGACCAGTGATTTGCTTGTAGTTGGTAGGGGCAATGATCTGGTTTCGGCTCCGTCTTGGAGGTGTAAAACGGTAAAGGGAACGCAAAACGTAGCAGCATATAGGGGGCTCCCATATGGGGCTTCACTCGCTTTTCTTGCGCAGCTACTGTACAAGTCGCATTATTCAACCATGCTCTATTAAGAGCCGCCACAAGGACTGGACACACCACATGCAGTGCATGTGGACATGTGGACGTACTGGTCTTCATCTTGTTTTTTTCTCCGGGGTAAACGCGAACCTCCAAGTTGCAATCCATACTTGTCGACAGTCTTGAAGCTCAATGTGGGGGAGTTTTTAGTATCTTTTAATC